GATTTTTCCTGAGGGGCAATGAGGTTAAGTGAATTCATTAAGTATTGATAACAGTCCTTTTGGCTGCAGACTGTGGCCAGCAGAGGACAAAAATCTTTCCTTTAGTCACATATCAGCATAAAATCAGAGAAGCTAGGGACCTGCAGAAGAAAATGGTCTTCTTACCAATTTACAAACTGTAAAAACAACAGTGCACTGCAGCATGCCACAGAAACCCTCCACCCTTTTGTGAAATCTCCCTCTGCAAGCCCCAAACCCTACTACAGGGTGTTTTTAGTATCTGCTAGTTGTTTTAACCATGCTAACTGAAACTGAAAGGAAACCGCACTCGCTAGGTTCAGAATGAAAGGTTGCTATGCTGTGATTTACACTGTCAAACATGTCTCTGAAGAAGATGTTGCTGTGGATAACAATCTTCTTCATAATGACACATGGTTTGTTTCCCCTTTCTCATTAGACTCTGCTTCTACATTCAGGAAACTTATTAGGAAGACAGTCCTTTTGGCACAATTTCTGGGCGGACCAGCAGTGTCTTGATTTTTACATTGACTTTTTTTTTTAATTTAATTTGAAAAATCTGCTCTCTGCAAATTTTTCCTATTTTGGTTTAACTGTTATGTTGAAAATTATCATAAATTAATCTTTTTTCTTTCTTTATGTTCCTTCCTACATTCTTCCTTCTTCCCTTTCCCCTTTTCAATAGGCCTAATACAGATAAGTGCACCCAAGTCAGAGTCTCAGATAATGCAGCTGGAGCAACTCCACAGCTGAAGATCTGCCTCCATTTGGTATGAAAAGCCAAGGAAGCATGAGCTGTTTCTTTGCAGCACAAGGATCTAGCATTCTGCATGACACACCTTGGCATGAGACTGCTGACTCCTGGTTCTCTCTCCATGGGAGCTGTTTATGATATGTTTCTGCACGTGCTGAAAATACCCTCTCTAGGAACAGTGTTTATTGGGAGGGTACGTATCCATAGTTACACAGCCCCACTGCATCCACATTTTCAACTACTACATCATATACTGTTTTCAAAAAAAACAATAGGAATTTTTCCAGAATGCTTCTTTCCACATTTAGGCACTAGACCAGTCCTGCCAGCCATATATACAAACTCATTGCTGTTAGCAACCCACACAATTCTCTTGTGCACGTTGCCAGGTCTCCAAAGACTCCTGAAGGTTTTATCAGTTACATGACATCACACAGCAGCATACATGAAAATATTCCCTGAAAGACCCTAGCAGTAATGAACACCCTTTCTAACGATATACAAACTGCAGTAAACCTCCTTAATGCAAACATACAAATGCTTTCCAACCCTTTACATCTAAAAGTACCATGCAAGTAGTTTTGCCACGAAAAACATTTTGAACAACACCTGTATATGCATTTGACCCCAAATCTCCCAAATAAACAGCCAGTAAAAGATAACAGTTAAGATAGCCATGGACCAGTTAAGATAGCCATGGACCAGCTAGTGAGCAGCTATACATTCAAAATGCTGTGGCATCCTAAATTTTCTTGGTGAGTGGAGATGATACAGAAACCAATGACAAATGCTATTCAGGCCTTCCCTGACAATAAATAGCCAAATATGACATCAGTATGTAATTTATCACAACTTACTAAAATCTTACTTCTAAGTGGACGGTCAGTACTTTATGAAAAACTACTCCAGTCCTTGAATTCTTGCTTTGTCTAATGTCCTCCTTTTCCTACATCTTAAAAACTTCTAAAAGCATCTGACTGGATGGAGAAATGCCTTAGGAAAGACAAATCTCTTTGAAATGCAGAATCCCATAGAAGGAAACCACAGAGCAGCAGAACACAACTTTTGTCTTTCAGACAGAATCTGCAGTTGCAGTATGATCTCTCCTTTGGTAACACAGAGCAATTAAAGTCAAACACATTGAAGTTAATCAGTTTCAATCCGTCTTTTGTCCTTGTCCCCCACCTCAGCTGTCAAATTTAGATTGCTTGAAAATTCCTCTAGTGCAGCCCTGGAGCTGATGCCACAGGCATTGGCTACTGGATCCCCATCCAGCTTAGAGAAATAATGGAGAAAAAACCTTTCCCAAAAGTTTGGTTATAGTTTGGTTTTTACCTTGCACAGAGCTCCTGAGTTGAGATGCGCTCAGAACTCTCCAGCAGTTTGAATCAGAGGACAGCAAAGTGCAGAGGAAGTTTTTGGTGCTCACCTTAAGTCAGAGTGTGCGTGTGCGCCTATGTCCCGAAAGACTCTTTGTGGCTCTGGGTGGCAGAAGACCTGATTCAGGGAAGAGAAAGCCACTTTCTCACCGTGAGGAAAAGAAAAGCAACACGTCATGAGTTAAGTACGCCTCCAAGATGTCTTAATTACGGCTCAACGTGCTTTCCATTCAGACCCCAGGAATGAGAGGAAAAAATAAACCCACACACGCGGTTTCTCTCTCGCACACACCCAGCCCGTCACAGCACGCTCCCCTGTCCTCACCCCTCAGGTCCAGCCCTCTCAGATCCACGCCTAAAAAAGCCTCTTGCAATGCACACAAGTCCCGAGCTAAAAACTGCACGGGACGAAGAAAGAAAGAAAAAAAAAAAAAAGTAAAAAAAAAAAAAAAGTGGTAGTGTTCCTCCTGAAGGGATCATTGGATTTAGGGTGTGCGACACCCTGAGAAACATGATCCTTATGGCCTCTGTTCCTCTCACAGCCCCCCCCCCCCCCCCATTAACTCTGAGGGTGGGAACATGCTTTCAGATGGGGAGAAATTGATGCATGATAAAGCGGCGGGGGGGGGGGGGGGGGGGGGAGTGTAGTAGGGTGGAAACAGCTGGACCTAACAGGATCCCGTTGTGTTTTTATTTTACCCCCAACATCCAATTGAATTATTAATCCCGGAAACAAGTCCAGCTTCTCCTATTACACCCCAAATACGGAACATGCCTTGCTCACAGCACTGGCATCACAAACCCCTGAAGTCAGGCAACTGTTGGCCCTAAGTCTTTATGCAATTTCTGAACACTATCTCGGGTTAAAGTGCTCCTCCAGCACCAAAAATCTCTGGATTATGGTGCTTTCCACATCAGGAGGCACATGACCTCAAAGGAGTTTGCTAAAATTCATGCAATATGTGGTTTTAACCCTCTAAAGCCCATGGCATGAAATGCACACACATCAAACCTTACCTCTTACAACTGCAGACAAAAGGTGCTGTCATTGTCTTATCTCTAAATGTTACTTAACATAAACAAACAAAACCAACCCCCCAAATCAAACACAAGGAGAAAAGGACAAATAAAAAGGCCAAGCCTTGATGATGGACTGACTACTGGTTGGCAAATTGGGGCACAAACAGTATTTATTTGTTTTTACTGGAAAGCAGGTGTAGTTGCTCTTGTCCACTTTAAAAAAAAAATAGGCTTTTGACGCTCCGTCTTCCAGCAGATGTAAACCTGAATCCTCAACCTCTAAATTCTGCTGGATGAGAAAATGCAGGTAATCCAGGAAACTCGATTCATTTTACCCCCTTTCCCCCTTTCTCCAGCTAAACAGAAGAATGTGACTGTATCACACCCACTGCAACTCTCCAGCATCATTTTTCAGCCCAGGCCCTGCCAAGCTTTTATCATTGTGGGTGTCAAACTCTCAGCCCGCACCATCAAAAGAGGCTGCAGCTCATCAAACCTCCGCGACCAGGAAATGCCAGAGCTTAATAAAAGCATCCTGGTGCAAAAGCACATCTGAAAACAAGAGTTCTACCAGAGTCACCAAGCAGCGGTCAGCCACTGCTGTGGCCCATCAGCTCTTTCACAGCAGATCCCATCGGCCAGAGAAACAAGCAACAGACAGGGCTCTGCTCAGAAATATCAGGGTACTGTTGGTGTGCGGTCATCAAAAAAAGGTGAAAAAAGAGGAGCACTGCCTTTGTTTAGTGATAATCCGGTACAGGTAGACACAGGCGAAGCACCTGGCCTGTAAAACACAGCTGCGCCTGTGCCGAGCTGAGGGGTGCCTTGAGGCGGGCCCTGCCCGGCCCCTCCCTCCTGAACAAATACGCGTTTCTTACCGCCGGCGGCGACAGGCCCGCCCCGCGGAACCCGGTCGGTCCCCGCCTTCCGGCAGCAGCCGCCGCCGGGGCGGAAGCGGCCTCAGGTTTCAATAACAGAGGGTACATTGATAGGGTGCGGCCCGGGCGGGATAGCGGCGGCTGCTCCACCCGCCTTGCGGGTCTAGGGCCAGGGCTGAGGCAGCTCGGCGGGTGCCCTCCCCGTGTTGGTTCCTTGTCCTCGTCCGTCTCTCCCTCCTCATAGTGCTGTGCCTGCCCGTGGCTGCTAGTGGCGAGAAGCGTGGGCCGCTGCCTGGCGCTGCTGCCCCATCTCAGGTCCCAGCAGCAAAGGGAGTCCGCGCCTGACTCTAAGCGGGCAGTCGATAAGTATATCCGCTGCCGTTATCTGTCAGGATATTTCTTTCCCTTTCAGTACGTAAAGGTTTTTTTTCTTGTAGAGACAGCTGGGGAGGGGCTTTTGACAAGGGCCTGTAGGGACAGGACAAGGGGGAATGGCTTTAACCTGACCGGGGAGACTGAGATGAAACCTGAGGCAGAAGCTCTTCCCTGTGAGGGTGGTGAGGCCCTGGCACAGGTTGCCCAGAGAAGCTGTGGCTGCCCCATCCCTGGCAGTGCTCAAGGCCAGGTTGGACGGGGCATGGAGCAACCTGGTCTAGTGGAAGGTGTCCTTGCCCGTGGCAGGGGGTTGGAACTGGATGAGCTTTAAGGTCCCTTCCAACACAAACCAGTCTGGGATTCAATGCGAAAGCCTTCTAGTGTAGTAAAATTAATTCGGGCACATTATGGCATTCGAAGACTTTTCTAATAGAATGATGTTGATCAATAATTTTTATCAGTATGACCAGCCCTGACAGTGTTCAGGGCCAGGCTGGATGGGGCTTGGAGCAACGTGGTCTAATGAAAGGTGTCCTTATCTGTGGTTAAGAGGGTTGGAACCGGGTAAGCTTTAAGGTCCCTTTCAACCCAAACTATTTGTGATTATCAACACAACGTGGGGTTTTATAAGCTACAGAGGCAGTAAGCTGTTTGTGGGCTGAGTGGGGCAGAAGTGCTCTGACTCTGCATCTAAACACTTGTAAAGAATGTTGGGGCATGTGCAGAATACCTACTCCTTCTTTTGCTAATGAACGGAAAAGTGGAAAGAGAACAGTGGGATGAGAAAAGTCCTGCCAGCTCCATTGATAGAGTCCGTAGCACTCCATGAGTAGGTACAAAATTAAGGTAGTCTTTTTCCTCTGAATCTTTGATGGAAAAGTATCAGATCGCTACATACATTTGAAGTAAATGGAAATGACAGTGAATTAGTTCATAACATTCTGCTGTTTTATTTCATGCCATTTTTTTAAACCCTGAAACCCACATGCAAAGCTATATTTGATTTAGGGGCTTTATAATCACAGCTAGATGAGTAGCTGAAAGTGTGGTGCAGAGCAGTCCCAGAAGCAGTCTGTGGTTGAGGATGTCCCTCAGCTGCTGGTTGCAGGATACTAAGAGGGTGGGTTAGTGGAAGATCTATTTTTTTCCTACTGTCTTTTTCATATTCCTCTTTCAGGCCCCCGCTACTAGACTTTGCTGAGCAAGAGACTGGACGAGATGAGCATTGTTTTGAGGCAGTTTGAATGTTCATGCATGAAGTTTTAGATGTTCTCGTCTTGAGCAAAGATGTAAGTTTAAAATAAGCATAATGTTCATTATAGGCTTTGCTTAAGAAGACCGTCATGATACTGCAGGTATTTCTGGTTAAATAAAAAGCTCTGCACAGCTAGTATGAGCTACAGTGCACAGTCTCAAAGCACTTTCCTGATTAGCACTCAACAAATGTAAATAAAAAAGCGATTTCCTATTCTGTCACATTTGGAGATGTAATGTGCATATCTTGGTAGTGATGTTTCTGTATAAATTTTAGAGATGTTCAGTTAATTCCAGCTGAAGAGCAGCTCTGTATGCATATTGGTGCTCCATGTATGTTCCCCTTTGGAAGCATAAGTCTCTGCAGGATCGTGTCTATAACAGTGATGAAGGGTGTTGCATTGCTTTTCTTCCAGGCTTACATTTTTTTTGTCCCCCTAATACTGACCATGAAAGCTTGCAGATTGAAAGCTGTTTGCTTAAACCCAGCCCAGGTAAGACGAACAGGTATTACGTTTGCTTTTACCTAGGAACTCTGTCATGATGGGCAACTTCATAGCCTGGTGATTATTATTCCTAGCACCTCAGACCATGGCAACAACTCAAAAAAATTAATGTTCAGTATTGTTGTACCAAAGATCCTGAATTTTCCTTTTCAATATGGATGCAAAGATGGCATTTTCTGCAAAAGCTAATGTGATTTATGCAGCATTAGACCACATTTGCAAAGAATTTGTAAATTCCCTCTGGAACCACTTAAAATTTAAACAACAACTAAAAAGTAGATTTCGTGATAAACCAAAAGAGAAGAAGAGTTTCAGGGTTTCTATTTGGTTTAACAGGTTTATCACTTCTTAAGCTTGCTTGATTTTGAGTTGACCAGTTTTTGTGTTAACCCACTTTTAGAGCACTTAAAAGTCCTGCTGGTGAGAGAGTGGATTGCAACTGTAAACCTGTAAAGCAGAGATAAAGATTAGAGTTCCTCAGTGTTGCATTTAGGATTTGTAAAAAAATCAGGTGTTAGCAAACAGCACTGGGCACATCTTCCTGCAAGGAGATTGTTGTCCTATAATATGAACATATACTCTGTTCATCTTACACAACTGTTTAACTGTTTAACTGTTGTTATTAATGCTCCTTTATTCACTATCATTCTTCTTACACCTGTCTTCCTGACTAGTAATGGTTCTGCTACATGACACTGGTCCCAAAGGCATCACAGACACTTCCACCTTCAGGTCCTCTCTTAGTTGTTTACTGGCACTTACCATGATTTTCATTTGCAGTTGTTCACTTACTTCCTGGTTCATGTAACAGCGATCTTCTTTTGCTAGACACTCTTAATAACACTGAGCCATTTTCTTTAAAGAATAACAGACAGCTAGCTGAAACTTCAGGGCTCTGGCAACTAATTCTATGCTGCAATACTCAGTGGAGTAACCTGACAAGATTTATGTGATCTTTGTGTACTTAATAAAAACTTTCTATTTATCTTGGCGTTCACATTGAGTTCAAAGCTAGCTTTTGCAACTGTGCAGTTTTAGCTTAGTAGCGATTATCTTTTGATAATGTAGTCACATACAGTGAGATGTTCTGTCTTAAGCTGGAAAAGGAGAAAGCTGTAAAAGAGGCTTGTTTGACACAAAAATGAAGTAAGGTTGGTCCCACTAAGGAAGAAGACATAAGGTAAAAGCTAATAATACAGTGAAACATTTGGGTTATAAACTTCTTCTGTTTGGAAAATTCAGCAGGATGGATGCTATGAGTCACTGGTATGAAGCTGCAGAAATCTACAGGAAAAAAGTAGTAGAACATACTAATTTTAAAACAAATCCTACATACTCATAAAAATTCATTACTGAAAAAAAAAACACTGAGGAGAAATACAAACATTGGGAGAACTCAAGCAACATCCATAAAAAATTAAATTATAATCAAATTATAATGAAAATATATGAAGACATTCGTTTTCCAAACTGACTGAAAATACAGGAAATTATTTTATGCCAGCTGAACAGCCAGCTTTCCATTTGAGATTATAGTTTCTTGGACTACAGTTTTTTGTCTTCCTTTTCACAAGTTAGACTTTTTACAGTATGAAGTTGTTTTCTTCAGGAAAACCTGACTTAAAGTTTCAACGAGACAGAGTTTTGGACATTCATAGCTGTTTAGTACTCCTGGCTAAATAATCTTTTTCTGTTTACAGTGTTCTCATTTCAGCTGCTTAAGAAGTGGAGCACCAAAGAGAGTTCATGCAAAAAATACCAGTTATATCACTTTTAACATCTGTTTATCTGGAGACAGATGTCTGATCTCTCTTAATAAAGGAATTTGCATGGTCTTCATTTTGCCTGATAATATCAGGAAAATCATTTTGATATAAATACACTTTTGATTTAGCACTTCATCACTCTATTTTTTTCACATTTCCATACAGAATATTGATTTATTTTGTCTTCTGATCTGTATTATCTTTGCCCTGGAACTGTATTGGACTTACAAACTTGGGCCAGCTCCAGACTTTCTGAGAACTCTTTTAATATTAATACTTCGCCTCACAAGTAGTTGTGACTCTTCAACACACCAGACCAGTTACGTGTTTTCTTCTTATCTTCTGTGTGTTCTATAAATTTTGTTCTTAATTATGTTTCTGTTTTTCTGGGAGACTCTGAAGATGAACTGGTGAGACACAAATAGAATGTGATCAAGAAGCAAAGAAGGCAGAAAAGAAAGAAGACAAGAAGAAAGGCTTTGTAATGTTGTGTATAAGCAGAACCAGGAAACTTTCTTCTGTCAACATGGAAGTTAGTGGAATACCTTGCACTTACACTCCTACACATCTCAAAGGTCTCACAAGTGTTCATGCACTGCATCCCAGGAATAAACAGGTTTTGTTCCATTAGATGGAAGAAAATCAAGCCTTGAAGTATGTCTTAGGAAGCAGTAAGAAAAAAATTGTGAGGTAATGATTGAACTGTAAGATCAGTAGTGAATAAGATACTTTTTAAGCTACAAACTTTAGTTTTCTTAAATGCTGATTTTCTCATATAGACATTAAGATGAAAAAAAAAATAAAACATCACCAGTTCTTGTACGTTACTTGATTTGCTTTTACCACAGTCATTTGTTAAAAGTAGCACAAATGACTGCAATGTCAATTGACTCTCAGAAAGTTGATGAGCTTCCACTGTGACTGTTGGCAAGTCACTGATTTGTCTGTGTGTGAAGAATGTAGTATGCCAGAAAGATCAGATATACTCCCCCACGGAGACTAGATAACATTTTTCAATCTGTAAGAATGTGACTGATTGTTGATACTTGGTATCACAAAAGAGATGATTTCAGGCAATTGTGGTGGTCTCAAAGCAAAAAGAAGCGAGTCCAAGGAATGGCCTTCTTGCATGGAAAACTAAGGCAGATTTCGCTCAGTGATGCACCAGTATCACCAAAATGTTGGTGAACTGAAGCACGATTCCTGATTATGCTGTCATCTTTCAAGCCATTCAGACAGGAAGAAACACTTTTTATTACTGAACTACCAGACAGCCCAAGCTACTAGCAATAAGTTTTTCTTTTTTCTACTTGCTGTTGCATGTTCTCCTATATTATTAGAAATGAAGTGCCAAAGAAAAGATTTTCGTCAGTCTCCAAAATGTCTAGAGTAATCTCAGTCAGTACAGCTTTTAACCAGCTGGTTGTGCCGATAGAAAAAGAGACAGCTTAGCTTTCCAATAGAGTATTTTCAAGTGTCTGTTTTGCAGGTAGAGAATATGCTGGTGAGTTTGGTTACCTGGTGTCTAGTCATGACTTGAGACATGCTGTGTACCTCCATGCTAGGATTGTGCTGTAGAGTTGCAACTTTGCAATGTGTATCTTGCGCTAAGAGGTGGTTGCTGAGCATTTGGAAGCGTGGGCAATTGTAGTTAACTTCAAACAATAGTGCCTCTAAAAATTTTAGCGTCATAAGAGTTTGGATCATGAAGTCCATGCAAGAGCCAGTAGCCTCAGCCCCTTGGCTGTCAAGGAGGTGGTGAACGCAGTACTCTGTGTTTGCCTGTGGGCACTGGGACAAAAGACCAGCTGCTATCCAGAGGCAAAGAGCTAAGCCTTCAAGCTTGCTTGCTCACACTCTGAGGCCAACTGGCCTAGAAATATGTAGGACTGAAACTATATCACAGTTTTGTGTCACATTTTGTTTGCACATATTGTTGCTGGATTTGCAGGTGCAGTCTGAGGTTTGGGTGGATGAAGTTTGCCATCCAAAACTGCAAAGGCTCAGACATCTGCATTTACAAGTTGCTGTCAGTAACTGACCCAAAGAGTCCTTCTTTAAAGAATGTGTGGCTTACTCTTATTTTACAGCTTCCATTTTACATAAGGAGCTATTGTATTACACTTAAAACGTACAAAACCCATTCCTGACTGAAACAAGAGACAAACATGGTATACCACTCATTCTGAGAAGTATTTAACACTTGCTCAGATCCACAGTTCCACTGAAGTAGGATTTCTGGTGTGAGTAAAGGAGAACACTATCTAGTCCCAATTATTACTGCTATTTTAGGTGAATATTTCGTGTAGGTGGATAGGATAATATGAACTGTAATGCTGGCAGTGTGTGACTGGTACACCTCTAACATCTCTGAGCAAGGCAGTTCATTACTTTTGCTTCCCAGGGGTTGTGAACAAAATTAAAATTTCTGTAGGAACAGATTCCCTGAAGGTCCAGGGTGACCTCTTTTCTCATTTTCATGATGGGGCCTTAAATCAAATGCAGCAGTTTTCCGTTAATATATTTAATTTGCTTGACAGCATGACATTGTTGGTATTTAGGCTTAAATTCATACTCTGTCAAATCTCATTAGTTTATTTTAATAAGGATCATCTTGATTGTAACTCCCTGGCTTCAGTAATTGCTAGGATATCTTTTAATAACCATGTGTAGCTCTGGTATCACTTTCATATTTATGTGCTGCTTTGTGGTTTCCTACACGACTTGCCTCAAATGAGGGGTGTTAATATTTGACAGGAAAAAAAAATATATTTCTTATATTTTCTTGAAATCTACTAATGTTTCAGTGTCCTAGCTGTCAAAGAATATTTTCTTCAAATAGTTTGATGAATAGTTGTGAGCTGGTGAAGGAGAACAACATGACAGCCATTTGTTTCTCTGTTGTAAAGTGTTGCCTTTGAGCAGTTTGTATAGGTAATGGTTTTGGGGTAGAAGTGTAACAATGACATGTTGAGCTTTTCAGACAATTCAGTATCAGCTGTCACACACAGCAGTCTGTAGGGGTTATTTGTGGTGCTACTGGAAAGTTATGGATTGCATGATTCTGTACAAAGAAAGTACTCACTTTGTCTTTTGAGTCTATTAAATAATTTTCTGCAGGAAGTTTTCTGTCCTGCTGTTTTCTTGTAATAGGATACTCCTTTCTGATAGCAGTATTCTTACCTGTCTGTATGCCTTTCGTGGTAATTTTTGAAAATGCTAGAATTAATACTAATTATTTCAATATGCATATGCCCAGACAAATAATTTTACTTGTCCTCTATGCAGTCCTTTGTCAGGGCAGCTGTACCTACTAAAACAGGAGGAAAACTTGGATGTAGGTATTCTCATTTACACTTTACTTATCCTTGGAAAAATTGCCACAAAGGACAAAAACTTTGTCTAACTTGTAACAAGATCCAGTGAATCAGTTATGAAACTGTCTTTTGATTCCTGCCTGGGTGGAGCATATTAAAGTGGAATCTCTGTCAGTGTAAATATATTACATATAAGAACAGAAGATATGGCTGCCAATAACTTAGCAATTTTAAATATTCGTAAGTGTAGCATTTGTACATTGGAGTGTATTCTCAACCTGATTTTGAATGTTACGGACTAATCTTTTGCATTTCTTGAATGATTCAATGTGGAAAATATTCATAAAGTTATAAAAATATGTTGATTTTGATCCTTCTGTTTTCTTTCTAGGACGACTGAAAGTCTTTGCAGTTACTGTAAGCGGAAAATCAATATAATAAGAAAATGTTGATTTAGCTTTTCATATGGAAATAAGTCTTCTGAGCATAGTTAGAAACAGAGTCTTAAAGAGACCAGATTCAAAGATTTTTTTTTTTCCCTGTTAGATGAGGATGGTTATTTAAGAAAACAGCTTAAATGGGAGAAAAACCTTATTCACCAGGGTTGAAATTAACTTGACCTGCATAAATTCTGAATAATCATCTATGAAACCATTCATATGAAAAGGAAAGCCAAATGTTTCTGGAATGCTGAAGTTTTATATTTGTCAGCTATGCCACAGTACTTAAAATTGAGCCCAGCATAGTGATGGTCTTTCAGTTCAGCCCAGCTTTCTCTGTACTTTTGCAACAAATGAAAATATATCAGCTGCATCACTGCTCTTGGTAGAGGATCTAGAAGAAGGGAAGCAGAGGTAAAGACATGAAAAATGGTGAAATAGCAAAATCTAGTGAAGCCTTGCTGGCCAAAAGACAGAATGAATTTCTGTACTACATAGAGGATTTAAGCTAAAAGCAGTTCAGGATATAACTCTGCAGAACTCCAGTCACAGGGACCCTTACCCTGATCTATAAAGAGGATCAGGGTATTTGAAAAGGGTTTCCTATCTTCAGAGCCTTTTCTCTTTTCAAGCTTAATCACTAACTGTTCACCACAACTAGCAGGCAAATAACTGGCTTAACTGACCAGCTGGAATAAGCTACAATAACTGCTTAGATTTAAAAAACAGTTGGTCTTACACAATTTTATGTCAGAAAATGCAGTGAATAATTATAGCAATGTTTTCATAGCTTCACAAATATTTTGACTTCTAAAATGCCTAATAAGGCATTTTTAATTTTTATTTAATTTGTACTTTTAAAAAATAATTGTTACATGCAATGTATATTTGTGTGTCTTTTCTAAAAATCTGATAGTATTTTTTGTCCTAATGAAGAATTGTTTCAAACATGCCATAGTCAAAAAAAAGAAACTCCTTTAGTCTTTTCCTGTGTCATATACTAAATTTCAGATGAAGCTGATATTATTTCTTGGTCCAATTCTTTCTGCATGATTTTATTTGGTAATACCAATGGAGATGAAATAAAGTGGTTTTCAGTTGTCTGAACATTTTCTGTGGACTTCTTTGCAACAGGAGAGCATTACTGAAGCAGTTTGTGAAAGGGATTATCCTTCTTTCCAGCAGTGGAATAATTTCATGGCCATAATAAACCTTTAGAACAGTGATGAGCAATGATGGCAAGAGTATCTTAATTTTAAATGTTTTGTGAATGTCATTTAAATTATGCAGACTTTTGAGCCATGGTGATTAAAGCATCTGTGCAATCCACTGCACAGAAACTCAGCTTGAAAGAAGTGGTTCTGAATATTGAATTTTGGACTCCTCACGTTCCTTTAATATTACAATAATAGAATACCTACTGATCTCAGTGGCAGCTTTCCAGTATTAAGAACTACAAAGAAAAAGCCGTACTGAAAAAAAAAAAAAACCAACAAAATTTCCTAGTTTACCCAGGAAATTATTAATTTCCATTTTAGAGGACCAGAAAGTTACCGTTTTACAAGGAGGTGTTTATGACCTGTTGGGTGCAGCAGTGTCATTCAAGATATAGGCAGATCAGATCCCAAGCAGTGAAATGATTCAGTATTTTTACACACATGATCTGAAATTTCTGTATTTTCTGGAGATTTAGGGAACTATTTCTTCATTTAAAATAGACTTACACTTCTAAAGCCACTTCTTGTATACTAAACTTAGAAAGGCAGAACGTAGAA